TTTTTCACTTTGAACAAATAATATTAAAATCCAAATACAAAATTTCTGATATGAATAAAAAGAAGCTGTCACTCAATATTCCAAATGAAGTTTTAATTTTTAATTTGGTGCTGAAAACACGAGATGACAATATTCTAAGCGCGGAATTATACTGATGAGATGAACAACAGATGAATTGAATTACCGTGTGGACTAACTAAAAATTGATAACAGTGTGGGCACGCACTTTTACCAGAGTATCAACAAACATTGAATTCCAGAAATTCACACTCTAAAGTGTCTTCTAGAAGGAATTGAATTGTAATTATGATTAAAATCTTACTCAGTCAGCATAGGAATTAGAGCATGAGCAAATCATTTATTGTAATATGAAACTTGAACAGCTGATAAATTGGAACGTATTTTTGCAATGAGAATGATTATAAGCAATTGGAAGGAAACAGGCCATCATGAACGAGCGCTAGTTCATGAAAAAAATCCATGAAATTCGATTGATCCCTTATATGAAAATTTCGAAAAAAAATTAGAAAAAGACAGCATACATGCACAATCTAAAAATTGCATATTCGGACTTTCGAGATTATATTTACTTGCCCTAACACAAAAAATTAGAAATTTAAATTGAGCGATCACAAGCTTCCATTCGAAAGCAAAACGTGATGAATTATTATTCTTATTTCGATGAACAAAACAGGAAAAACCATTGTCCCTCAGTCTTCAGTTCTACTTCCGTTCCTTGTGACCCTCACAAAATCACGAATATTAATGTTTATAAATAACTCAAACAAGTGGAGATGTGTTCGTCGTTATGAAGATTAATTACTCCGTTTTTTGTCCATCTACCATTGTAGAGAGGAAAACCATGAAAAACAGAGTGTATTTGTCAACGCCCTATGATTAATCCTCACTCCCCTACACCGCGAGGCGACCTTTGGTGGAACGTATCAGCGGTACCTCGAGATATCGATCCTTCCAAAACAACAACAGAAAAAACTAGAGGGGAATTTTATAACCTCAGTTTATTTTCCAGTTGAACTACAATACGAGTAGGAACAAAGTTGCATGTCGATACGGTTTTCCTCGTTTGAGTCCTATATCTTCGGGGTGCGCGTATGCCTTGACCTTGAGCTTCAGGTTCTATTTGTAGAATTTTAAGAAATGAATTCGAATGGAGTCGGATCGATTCGATATTCCATCGTCTTGTTTCTTGAAGTTTGGATGAATTACTTAAAAATGGAGACGATTTCACGCGGATATAAGATTCAAGGATATCAAAGTACTTTGGCTATTTTTTCTCCACACGGAGAGAAATATTCAATGAAAATTACCTATCGTTTCCGTAATTCCGGAGCGAAATGTGGTCGTAGAAAATTTTACGGAACTGCCACGGAATTTTTCCAGTGCGTTCCGTAATTTTTATCTGAATCTCCTGTGAAAAATTACGATACCGTCACTTAAATTTTCTGAGTCGATTCCGTAATCGGTGAGCGAATTGTGAGTTCCGTAATTTTTACTGAACATTTCTCTCTGTGCAGTGAAAATGTTTTTTACTTTTGTAGTAGAACATAAGAGCTTTCATTTGAGCCCCATTTGACCCTTCGTTTCCAGTCATTTTACGATGATTTTATTATTCAAACCTTGCAGCCTTCAATTTCAATCTCGATATTGAACCGTTAGAAAACATTTTACAAATCTGAAAAAATTAGAAAATTTACTTCTGGAGGAAGATTGATGGAATAATTTAAAAATTGCAATTTTGTAAAATATAGAGCATTTTCTATAAATAATTGATAAACAATCAATTTTTCAACATAAAAAACATTTGTTCGGAATCGCAACAAATTTGTTCAAATTCAGAAGTTTACCAGAAATTTATTTCATGTCTAAAAAAATTAGCTTTCCGAAAGTTTAAACAATTTCAATTATTTATTTATAAACATGAATGTTTAAAAAATGATACTTCGCTAAATGTAATTTTAATGGCGCTGAATATTCATGATTTTTTGAAATTTTTATTCACGCAATTTAATGAACAAATTTTATGATTGTAAATGATTGAATCTATAGTCTGCAATAATAATAATCCTCTAATTATTATTTTTTATTTATGAAACTAATTCATTGACTCAACAATGCAATGATCGAGTCGATAAAGTCAATTTCATAGATATAAAGTAATAATACTAGGAGAAATTAGAATAAAAAATGAAAATAAAAACTAAATTAAAAAGTAACATTAAAAAATTAAAAAATTAAATTAAAACTAAAAATTCATATAGACACAGGAGTTCCGTTTTCCCTTAAATGATTTCAAGGGTCATGCAATATGATTTCATGACCGCCTGATTTCGGAGAGAACAATGATTTCACGCGATTTCCCCTTGGAATATAAATCTATTAAACGAAATTGGGCACTGAATATTTATTAAAAAAACTTCGGTTTTTGTGGATCAATTAGTCACGATTATACGTACCAGCGAAAGTTTCGGGTGAATGTACTGTCTACGGTCGTTAATTTTTGCGTAAGAACGTGATAATAAACAATTAACACTAGAATTATTTTCGTTGTAATACTTACAAGAGTGAAATTGCAATTTAGAGAAAATCGAAGTATGGACATTCCGTGGAATAATGTGATTATCGGACAGATAATGTGCTATGGAGACTGAGAATAGCTCCATCAGAACGTCAGGGGAAAATCGCTAGTGAATTATTTTTTCAATTTATTATTGAAAATTTGCTTTTTTCGATTTTTTCAACAATTTTTTTATGTACTATCGTGTTGATGCCCTTTTCCTGTCACATTCAATATTCCTCCTTTCAATTCGTTGTTCATAATCATTCTCATTTCAAAAATCAATACGACCGATGAGAATCACATGTCTCAATTTATCAGCTGTTAAATTTTCATATTACAATAAATGATTTGCTCATGTTTTAATTCCTGTGCTCACTGAATAAGATTTTAATCATAATTACAATTCAATTCCTTCTAGAACACACTTTAGAGTGTAAATTTCTGGAATTCAATGTTTGTTGATACTCTGGTAAAAGTGCGTGCCCACACTGTTATCAATTTTTAGTTAGTTCACACGGTAATTCAATTAATCTGTTGTTCATCTCATCAATATAATTCCGTGCTTAGAATATTGTCATCTCGTGTTTTCAGCACCAAATTAAAAATTAAAACTTCATTTGGAATATTGAGTCACAGCTTCTTTTTATTCATATCAGAAATTTTGTATTTGGATATTAATATTATTTGTTCAAAGTGAAAAAATCGATCATCATTTTCACTATATTGCATTCAGATTCTCCTATCCTTAACGTCAAAAATGTGAGATAATCTCATAATTCTAGCTATTAATTCTAATCAGCTTTGTTCGAAGAAAACCTTAGTAAACGCAATATTAAGAAAGTAGAATTATTCTATTTTCCTCTGACCAAAATGATTTGGACAATTGTGATTCGTTTATTCATGTTTCATAGAATGGTATTCAATTCTCTTTTATTTATTAGGCGGGCTTCACGAAAATCCGACGCAGAACGATTGCACTCATGATAATCGTCTTACTTTCTCCATTCGTTCGAAATATTGAACATGCTTTGTTTTTTAGAAACGAGTCGATACGACCTTCCGCTAAATCAATCGCATGGAATTCAAAATTACTCATTCCTTCCATGAATTAAAAAATTAATGTTATTGAAAAATGAAAATTTCATGATGTTTCATTTCACTGAAATCACCGAAATTTCCCATCAAATACTTCGCTTTTGTTCTGCTCTTTTCACTACTCACAATGATAATCATGCTCATGTTCTAAATAACCCGAACATTGTTCAGGCCTAGATCCTTCAATATACCGTTGCACCGGCAGGTGGGGAGTAGACTCCCCTCGTCATTTTTTGTTGTCTCTCACCTCTTGAGCAAAAAATAATGGACCCTCTCTCTCTCTCGCCCACAACGAGACAGGCGAGACCGGTTTAAACTCGAGTGTCACGCCATCGTACCTCGAGATCCTGAACTAAACTCAATGATTCTCGATCCCCGGGCACCTCTTCGCCGTGTAGATCCGCACTACCGATCACTGCCAGCTGTTGCTGGCGTCTCCTTACATTCACACGTGTCCATACACCCGCCAAATGAATTTTTGTGACTTTTCGAGTGCGAAATCTGTTGGATCTTCAGTAGGACTTACTGTTCGATCCAAATACCTCGGATCACTACAGGATATCTAGTATAATTGTGATTATTCCTCTTTAAATCGTGTTGAGATGTGATTTGTTTTTTCAAGTGATCACTGAAAACTCTTAATTAACTAGACTACAACGAAAATTATCAGAACAGTTTATTTTTGTGAGATTTGGTTTTCAATATTTTTCAGTTTATTGAGAGATGAAAGAGTTTTGTTTCGTTTTTCCTCTGCACTGAGAGAAACATTTGGTCTGCCGAAAAACTATATGTTCCCCTGAAGAGGTCTGTTGTCGTATTGAATCAATTTACTTGCGGACAAAAAAGAAAGTTTACACCAACGCATGATAATTAATTTTCTTAGTAGTAATTGTTCTCGTGAGACGTTTATGTCTTTCGGGTAAATACATTCGTTCTACAGAGAATTATATGAGGCTCCGGTATTATCAAGTCAATGTTATTGAGTAGTGTATATCTTTGTCCAACAAACACTTATAATTTCCATGGAACAAATGATGATTTCAAGAGGAAACTACAATTTTCTTGCTGAAAACTGTAGAATAATCCAATTGAAAATGTGTAATTATCTCGAAAACAATTGATTTCAGGAGAAAGTATGTCGAGACCTTTTTTGAAGCTGATTAAATTCTCCGCAAAAAATTCCTTATCACATTTTCCTCTAGAACCACTTCTTATTGGGATAATCCCACCTTGAATAAGCCACAAAAAAATTCATTATTCTGTTCGGTTTAGTTGTGTTACGTTTTACCACTTTACTATAAAATCAAATAAATTCAGTAAATCCGTAAATTTGTGTTTGTGAATCGATAACGTGATGAAGGGTGTTCAACCCAGCCCCTGAGGTCAAGGATCCCCTCCATTATCATTACCCAAGTGAAGTGATTGTCACTGTTCACAATGAAGGACGACAGTTCAGAGACACGTGAGAATAACTCGAGTGATTTGTCATCAAAGAGACCATGTCACGAACATGGCGATGACTGTCCAAGTGAGAACGAGCGGGAATTCGAGTCACTCGAGTACGAGGAGGACGTGTATTACTCGAAATTAGCTGCAACGCCTAGTTTCGATGATATCGATGAACTCAGTATCAGTGAGGAGATCGTTATGCACTGCTGGAAGGACTCTAATTGCGAACTCGATGAAATTGTCGTCGACGACACCGATCTTGTGTTTGTGGAGGGGAAGGAGGGGAGTAGGAGGATGAGGAGATCTATTAGGATTATTTTTCAGGAATTATCCAAGTCGTATTTGGAGAAGATTAGCAGGGGGCAGAGGAGGCTTATGGAACGACTGAAAGGTGTTTTTTGTGGTCCCTCTTTTATTCAATTAAGGATATTCAAGCATCTCAAACATTTTTTAATTCAATTGCGTGAGAATATTACGAATTACATTTTGCACAGAATTATTACTTTTTTAAACATTCGTTGTTTATAAATGAATAGGGGAGAGTGGGGCAAAATGGAACAGTCGAAAAACTATTATTTGACGCAATTCAAGTGAATTTTTTTTTATTCACTTTTGTTTATTTAATTTTTTTAATTCCTCAGAGTATCAATGAGAATTAGAAGTTTCCATTCATGAAACTGCAAAATGCAATGTCCAGAGGAGGTCCTGAGGGAGATGCAGAGGGGAAAAAAGAGAATGTGATGCTGAATTTTAATCGAATGGAAAAGAAAAGTGTAATCGGCCTAATTTAATCAATTGAATTATAAGACGAATAGAAAATTATTATTCTCATCAGTACTCCTAATAATAAAAAAGGTTGCTAAACAAAAGTTGTTAAAAAATTTTTTTTGCTTGAATTACGTCAAATAATCGTTTTTTGGCAGTTTCATTTTGCCCCACTCTCCTCTAATAGAAATTATTTAAACTTTCGGAAAGCTAATTTTTTTAGGCATGAAATTCTTCCTTTCACTCGAGAAAAAAATTGCCAAAGTACTTGGATATCCTTACAGTTCACGTACGAAAAGGTTTCATAGAAACACGTAGCGAATTCACTAGTTGATCCTGTTGGATTTTTATTGAAAAATATCATTGACATGACTTGACTCATTATTTCAGTAGGGAAACAATAAAACGATTTAAGTTGCGTTTTCGAGGAATATCTCCGAAACTAAGGGAGATAACGAAATTTTCATCAGGACCTTTTTTGTAGAGCGAATTGAGGGCTACAAAAAAGGTTCTAACGAAAATTTTGATATCCCCCCTAGATTTCAAGATATTCATTGAAAACCGGCCAATAGTCAAAATCAACTTAAACCGTCACTATTCATTTGGTGATTTATCTCCGTAGTGAGTGGTTTTATGAAAAAATTTCGCTAGACGTTTTTTGTAGCTGAGAAAATCTCCAATAGACAATATGTTTTGACTTTTTATCACTCATCCACTCATCCAGACATAATTACGAAATTGATAGACACAGGAACGATGAACGAAAAAAAATTATCGATAAAATTGACAAGCGATAGAAATTGGAGAATAATCGGAAAAAATTAATAATAATTACACTTATTATTACACTTGTAAGATTTTTTTTATTGGTGAAATTTCCTCTTGATTCTCTCGACCAATTTAATTCAATTACGATAGCCAAGAGAAATTGCAAGGATTTCTTCATGTTCTGCTCGCTGTAAGCTAGGGAGAAACTGTTCGAAAAAATTTGATGACTCCGGAGAAAATATTTGTGTCAATGACTGCAACGTTTCATAATTTCCTCATAAATTTTTTAACGGTTGAACGAAGTTAAGAAATTTTACGTTAATGCAACTGGGGCTTCGAAGAGGCGTTTGAATTCTCCACTTCTGTCCTTTATTTTACAATTTACCTCGTTTATCCTTTGGTTTTAGGAGAGGACGCTCTGCACTCGGGGTTAAACTCGGGATTAAATTCACCGTCGATGGATAATATTGCGAACGAGCTTGCGGGGATGACGCCCGAGCAGCAGGAGGAGCAGAAGGAGGAATGGAGGCGTGAATTGGCCAAGGTAAATGTTTATTAAATCCCTTTTTTATTTTTTATTTTTTTCATCTAAACAGAAGCTATTTAAAAAAATTATTTTATTCATGAATAATTTGTTTGTTTATTGATTCATTTATTTATTTACTTATTAATTAAGTAATTAATTAATAAGGAAATAAATGAATGAATAATTATAATTATTATATTTATTCATTATGATGGATAATTATTATAATGAATAAATAATTAATTAACTAAAAATTGATGAATTGATTAATTAATTAATTTATAAAGCCAACTGAGCCAATTATAAGGACAAATTAAATACATTTATTTATAAATGCTAAATTGAAATGTTTAATTAAATCGACATAAATGGTAAACGAAGGCCCGATTGAGTTGCGATAATCATAAGAAAAATAAGAGAGGAGTTATGAATGTGGAGATTCTATAAAATATTATTTCTGTGAATTTTAGTTACATTCGCATCTTTTTCCAGTGAGGGACACCCAAAAACTCCTCTGAGAGGTTTCCCCTGACAATTTTTGAGAATATAATTTAATTGAATTTCTATTGGAGATTATGCAACTTTACAAAAATCAATAGATTTTGATTTTTCTATTGAAATTTTAGAGTTTTTTCCGCAATATTTTTTTTCCAACAATGAAATCGAAGAAGAAATGCATAAAAAATCATGCCCAAGAATTTTTACAGAAACAATGCCAACAGAAACAAATGTACAGAAAAATTCACATCTACAGACATTTTTTTATAAACAAATATCTATTTAAAAATGTGGGGGATGTCGCATGAAAAAAAAATAAGTTCTCAAACAAATCTTGTTTGGGCCAACAAAATCGCCAGTTGAAAATTACCAAAAAAATAATAGTTTCGTTCGAATTTGAAAGTCTCAAACATGAATAATTGCTCTGCGTTCAACAACAACGAAATATTTGGCTCAAGAGGTGGATCATTCATACAGGCCTTTTCAGGATAAAAATATCTTTTAGTTTATCAAGAAATATTTTTTCCCTAAGTTACAATATTGCTGTCATATCATTATTATTATTTCATTTAAGAATTAATTTTTTGTCTGTGATTATTGAATAGCTGAAACTACAAACTACTATCCCTCGTTTCATATAAAACGAGCATTTGCCGGGAGCAAAATACGTATCGAATAACGAAGAAGTTGTGCTAGAAATGACATTTCTTGCTTGCACAGAGAATAAAATTTTTTTGAAAAGACAATCTGTTTTTGCAATAAAAATTTTCAATCTCGGCGCACGCTTCGCATATCTGGCGCAAAAAATCCTTTTTTGCAAATTTTTAACGAACGATTTTCTTGGCCCAAGTAAGACTTGTTTGAGAACTCTGCTGTTTTCCTCCCAGTGAAATTCAATAGAATTTCTGAAAGAAAGCCAGGTGTTTCTATTAAATTTTTTCACACGTGTTCACAACGTAATGTGCAATTTCAGGTAGAAGAGGAGATACAGACCCTCAGACACGTACTATCGAGCAAGGTCAGAGTGTCACAGGAGTTGAAACGTAAGTTAGGGATCACTGTCTGGAAGGATATAACGGACGACGTTAACCAGGGTATTCGCAACGTCAAGGAAAGCCATGTGTACGTAACCATCTCCTATTATCTTCATTTAGTACGAGTTAGTTAGTTAGCACGGAGTTCCGGGTGCATGGGGTCTTGCACACGCGTGTCAGAAAAAAGTCACAAGTGAACATTTTAACTTTACCTCAAAATCATCTCCAGCTGCGGACATAACAGATCATCCGTATTTTTCTTTTTTTTTTCATTCATATGTTCGTGTTTGAAATTAATGTCAACTGATCCATTCAAGATAATTGCTTGTCAAGGCGATGACACATCAACAAAATGAAGTTTTTTACAACTTCTTTGATCATTGGTAGATTTAAAAAATTAATTTGAATTAATAATTAAAATTAATTTAATATCATTAATATTATCTAATAATATAATTATATAATATAGCATAATATAATGTATATTTATTATTTTAAAAAGTAATAAAAATAAGAATAAATCAATTTTATTATTAAATAATTAATTAATAATTAATTAATTTTAATTTTTTTTATCTACTAATGATGAAAAAAACCGAAAAATTGGAATAAAAAAAAACTCAAATTTTTTTTCGTCAATATATTATGTGTGTGGAAACCAAAATTCAAGGCAGTCTATCAAAAATCCAGGTAAGGGTATTATTTCAAAGATTTTATGCCTGCACAGTCACCTACAGTCATTGAAAAAAATTGAAACTTGATTTTTTCTCCTTTTTGGAGTATAAAAAATAAGTACCAAAGTCATCTCTATGACAGAGACAACTCCCTGAAACTTTCAAATTTCACCTCGGTCTCCCCTTAATTAATTTATGGGTCAATTGACATTTTTTGTAGTGAAAAATTTGATTCGATCTGTACATATTAGGGATTCTAATAAAATTAGTTGAGCTTCTCCCTCGGATTTTCAAGGTGATGGTTGAGTCCTAAAATATTTCGAAATTATAAAATCATTTTTTTTGTTCTGGATCATTTTGTTTTCTTTTACTTTTGGTTGGGTTCAGTTATCAGAACGTCGGTGAGAAACTCGGTCACTTCACCAGGGCGGTCTCCGAAAACAGTTTGTAAGTATCAGAAGCAAAACACATGAAAGAACAAAAGAAGAAGTCGAAAGCTAAGCGAATGATCACGGCATTTCCTGATCAGGTTTTGGTCGTTGAATAATTACTAGATTTTATTGCAACTTGATAACATGTACATAGGTTCGAGCTTCAACAGTTTCTATTAACATTAATTTTATTTATTTATTTATTTAAATAACGAAGCGGTAAAACGATTTAAGTCGACGTGGCTCTTGGCTAAGTTTTCGAGGAATATCTCCGAATCTAAGGGAGATAGCGAAATTTTCGTAATAATGTTTTTCATAGGGTAAATTGAGGGCTACAAAAAAGGTTATGAGGAAAATTTTGCTATCTGCCTTAGATCGTGAGATATCCTAAACTGAGGAATAGTCAGAATCGAAGTGAACCGTTTTACTGTTTTGTTATTACTTTTTTATCATGGATCATTCTCATCTATTTAATTTTTACTAATTTTCTCTCCTTCGGTTTTGAGGGAGATGAGTGATGATATACACAAACACATTTCATGGAAAAACCTGGCGGATCCGATAGATAATTCTATTGAATTTCTATTGGAAATTCTGTAAGTATTAGAAAAAATTAGCGGAGTTTCATTTTCCTCTACAATTTTTTCTATTGATTCATTTTCTATAGAAAATCCTCGACATGATTTTTTTATTTTTTCCACTCCATTCTTTTCTCTTTTTATTCAGAAAATCAAACAAAAAAACTGAAAAAATTTGTATCGAGGAATTTCTATAGAAAATATCTTAATAGAATAAGTTGTATAGAAAAGATCGAATTCTAAAAAATCTGGAGACAAGCTGCGGAATTATTCAATAAAATCAGCAAAAAACTAATGGAGAGTTCAATGGAAACATAACAGAATTCTCTAGCCAATTCACTAGGTTTTTCTATGAAATTCTTTCGTACGTTGATTGATTGTCTATGGTTGTGAATTAGATTCCAGAAAACAGAGTCAGTATGCAAACAGGCTGCTGGACTCACCACCAGTATTTTGGGGGGTTTCGGCAGTGGAATTACAATGAAACTCGGACAGATGCGTAACTCAGACAGTTTTCGATCACTTGAGGAGAAAGTTGGATCTGCCTATGAAAATGTCAAGGTAAAGTATTGAAAATTAATATTTTCACTGTTATTTATGTCTTTCAATGAACATTGAAAGTGATTTATCTATTCAAATGTTATATTATTTGATTCACTTCCATACAAATTCATTATAAATTTTATCACAAATTCAAATAGTCCAAAAATGCGCGTGACAAAGATTTTCTTCAATTGTTCGCTAATGAATCGCTGGAATTAAATCATTTCTTCATCTAAAATGTAGCTATTATTGAGCCCTGTCCATCGACATTAATTGAAAATCAATTCATTTAATAATTTTTTCATTTTTGAATTATTCCAAAAATCGGTTGTCCCACAATAACTAAAAAAGTGTTCTGAATTAATGGAATGACTTGTTATTTTCATTTTATCCTCTTGAATTAAATTGAATTCTTGTCTTTCTTCAGGGCAAGGTGACCCCATCGAGATCAACATCAACCCAGAGCTTCGACGAGGCCCTGCGAGAGGCAGAGGCCTCCAGACGTGCCTCTGGGGCACCATCAGTCGCCACAAGCCCCACAATTCCCGAAGAGAAACCATTGTCATAGAGTTTGTCCAACAGTCGGCCTTTGACCCCACAATGCGACAATAACAACTATTCACCGTATGGAAGTAATACATGGGTCGGTCGTCTCGTCCATTTCTACTATTGTTCACACTGTAACACGTACTCGAGGTCCAACCATAATATTTAACGAGCTTTCGAACTCTTAATGTCGAACATTAGTTCACGATTGGAGAATATCGTGGACTTGAGGAGGACTTTATCAATTAAACGTGCTTTCTAAAAATCCAAACATGTGGCGCTGATGCAATGATTATTGTAATTACTCTGACAATGCAATCTTCGAGAGTTCTGCAGTGGGAAAAATAATCCTGGCAATTTGAATGGAAGAGTCAAGTTTACAAGAAAAGCGAGGGCTTTTTTTCGAGAAGGCAAATTCATTGAGAAATGAGACCATCAATCACACAGCACTGTTGAGTCTTTCAAATATATATCTAATCCGTTTTTATGTCATTGAGAGGGGAACATTATTCTTTGAATTACTATTTCGTTTATTCAGGAATCAGGACGTAGAATATCTCGAGAGGAGACGATTTTTCGTATTTTTTATGATTAAATTGGTCTTGATGATGAGCAGTGCGAGAGGGAAATGTTGGGGGATTTTTTTGGTCCGGAGTCAAAAAATGGAATTGCCACGAAAATATCTTCAGACTTTTCCTCTGAAAAATTCTCATTATCAAAACATTTTAGTAATTATGAAAATGCGAAAAATCGAGTCGTACAATTTTTTCTTTCTTCACCATTTTTGCAACTAATTTTTTATTTTCCTTCTAGAGCTCGAAAGAACATCACTTTATAGTAATGGGATATCAATTATTTCCCGGGGCGTAAAACAATATCATTAATTAAGCCTGGGGAATTTTGGAAGTGTCAAGTATTTTATAAACGACTCCCCGCAGTTGAATCCAACGATCGGGAGTTCATTCCTTCATTTCGATTTTGAATTATTCCAAATATGATAAATAAACAGGTGTACTTACGACACGTAGTATAACCGATGTATTCAGCTTCAAAGACGAAAATTTGAGTTACTTTCCTTCTACTTTTTTTTTAGATTCTAAGGTAAAATGTGGTTAATACAATTGCATCTGTCCACCTGGCGAATAATGTCTCTGCCAATGTAATCCTTATTCTTACTGGTAAATAAATTATTTCATCAGAATAACGTGTTTTTTTTCCGATAGTTTAAGGATTTTTTTTATAGAAAAAGCATACAAACTTTTATTAGAACTAGATACAAAAATAGTAGGTACATTTTGCTCGTCGTTTTGCAGTTTTGAGTTTCATTGTTTTCTCATTTAAATTCCATTTATACTTATTCGATATCCCAATCCAGTCATTTCCCCATTTTACTGAAAACCAGAAGTATTTTCTTTTTTTTTAATTTAAATTTCATGTTAATTAAGTTTAATATAAATTTTTACGATACTTCCCAGAGAAATTAAGGTAAAAGGGGGTACTGTGAGACACTTTTCACGCGACGCAAGGTATTTCCATTCACTCGGAGTAAATCGAACAACAAAATCTCATTTTTTTTAATTATTTGATGAGTTCAATTATTATTTTATTGAAAATAATTATTTTATTGACATCAATTTATTTTTTACATGATGATCATGTCCGTGTTGATGAGAAAAGTAGAAAAATTCCATCATCAAAAAAATGTATCACATCATTTGTTAATCATGAAATAATCCCAACGATTTTAAAATTTCAATTGAAAAATGAACAATAGTTTGAAAATCCAATTCGAGATATTTTTTTACGCATTTTACAATTTTCAGTTTAATGATTTTCTCATTAAGATACCATTTATATTCATTTAATATTCCAATCCAGTCATTTCCCAATTTTATTCAAAATCAGAAGCATTTTTTTCTCATTTTAAATTAAAATTCACATGAATCAATTTGAATATAAAAATTTATATTCAAATTAATTCATAAGAAGTATTGGTCATTTGACCAATACTTCTCACGAAATTAGTCCGAAAATTCCGTCATCAAAAATAAAAGTATCACATTTGCTAATCCTGAAATAACCCCGCCGACATTACCACTTCAATTCAACAATATACAACAATTATTAAAAATAAATATCGAGCCAATCTCCCACCCCCTAAAACTAAAAAAAACCAAAGACTAAAGAAAATTTCACATCTTTATTTTCTTACAAATCATGATGATGTTCTCATTACCATTTCAGCTGAAATAATTATAATCCTCCTAATTAAACTAATGCACAGTGCAACAATTTGAACACCAGCACGCGATGCTAACGCCTCAAATTCACATCTACTCTTCACTAACAACCGTGAGAAGAACTCCATCCACACAGAAACAAGAGAATAATATTTCAAAAAATTACACAGACGAGTGAGTGATCAGGGGGGTAACTGCCTAAGGCGTGCGAAAATATAAATTTCTATTGTAAACTCTACGAAAAAAAAATAATTCAAAATTGTTAAAATGAGCCTGAGATCAGGACTGAAATTTCTCCCAAAAAATTTTTCAATTAAAACTACTGGAGAGGCTGAGTAAAAAAATCACCAAAACAAAGAGACAATTTTTCATTTAAAAAAATCATTTATTTCCTAATGTAAAAAAAATCGCATAATATCCACAATTTTTCTTACAAACAACTAGTTCTGCTCTTCACATCGACGAAAAATGTCTTCCAATCTCAGTAATTCCTCTTTCTCAGCGTAAAGTACATGTTAACAAGAAAGAAATAATAATAATAACGTAAATAAAACAGAAAATTAGCGCCTATTATCTCCAACGATTGCCTGATACTGTTGTCAGTAGGTTAAATGCAGACCTGCATCGGCAACTGATGCAAGTGAATGTGGGAAATGGTTGAAAAACAATTAAACGATGGATTTTCATAATTTCATTAATATATTTATCTCTCAGTGATGCTAATCCAGGCGTTCGCAGGCAATTAATTCCTAGATTAATAATCCCTCCACAAATCACATTCAATATCTCATTCTCATACGGTATAAATAATTTTAATGTTTATTTAGCTATCTACAGTAAAAAAAACAATAATCGAGGATGATTTTTCTAATGAAGAAATTATTTAAGACTCTCACGATTACCTAACTACATTGTCGGAGATGAATAACTGTGAGAGGAGCTATTATAGGTTTTGTCGATTAATCTTAAATAGAAATTGGTCGTAACAAAAAAGGTACAATCATCGGTTTCACAATTTATCTCTCAAAACACTGTACACCCGAGCTATTGTTAGTAAGCAGATTCATTTTCACTCTATTTATACTTCATCTAGATTTTCATCATTCACGGTTCATCGTCTCTTATCAGTGATTGGATGTATTTTTTGCGATAAGAGGATAATTGTTCTTTGATTTTTGTCGGAGGCCACTTATTCGCTTGTCCACTGGGATTATTATTACAGCATTTTAGTTGTGACATTCATCAATAGTCCTTAAACTTGTGGCAAGTCGCGGTTTTCAACGATTCAATCTGCGATTTTTTATAAATATGGTCTTCAAGGCTTCAACATTGTGTAGATGTTCTCTTGGGGTAAATATAATATCTTTATATATTAGTTTAACAATATTAAGTTGTAAATTACATTTACAATAACATCATTTCACCGAGGGAGTGATCACTCCGAAACAGGAGGACGTCGAATTTCAAAGGTTACGGAGTTTTTTTGGGGTTTCGAAAAAAATTGAGAAAGTTCAGGCAATTCCGCAGTTATTTCAGTTATTTAATTTTTTTATTTTGGATTGAGAGGCCTCGGGGGTGAAAAAAAATGGATGGAATTCAGGGAAAACTTCGGGACATGAGTTCTCAGTCGAGAGTGAATGCGAAAATCTGAGGAATAGCTTGAAAAAATTGTTCCTTTTCTAGGGACTGAATGAAACGAGTTGAAAATTATCTGAAGAGCATAAATAATTTTAAGACATGTTCAAGAATACGAGGTGGTTGGCTAGTGTGGGCGCCGCCATTTTGGGAGGAGGACTATCCGTGCAAGATGGCGGCGCCCCCACCTCGAATTTTTAAATGTGTCTTAAACCTATTTATCCTCATTAGATCTCTCTCAATCCTCGTCCATTCGATTTCTACAAAAGGAACAAATTTTTTGACTCATCTTTCAAATTTTTTCATTCTTTTTTGGCTAAAAATTCACGGCGCAAAGTTTTGCTCGAATTGTTGTAGTTTTTTGCTTCTGAATTGAAGTTTTTTTCAGTCCCAGGCCTTGCGAGATTTTATTAAATTCTTATGAGAAGTATTTCATAAGAGAGAAAAAATTAATCGATGAGTTTACGAATTCCCTGGAATTTCCAGAGATTTGAATCCATCTACACGCAAGATTTCATGAGTGATTACTCCCTCGGATTTCGTGGCTACTGAGGAAAAAAATTATTAAAAATCATCGGAATAGTTTTTAAAAATTGTTACAAAATTTTAGTAATTTTTCTTCTCAGCGTTTGGGTTCTTATAAATTTTTGTACTGAGTAGGCAAACATTTAACGAATATTAAAATTCATTTACACCTCTCGATCACTATTATATATTAATTCGCTGTATTTTTCGTTATAGGCCATTGCCATTGAGTATTATCGTATTAATTTAACAAAATATATTATATAATTGTGTATAAAAAAACGAAGACAGTTTTGTGGACGTATTTTGTGGTAACTTGGGGATTTTCCTAATGAAAAAATATAAAGTTAATAAAAAAGTTTAAAAATGGAGATAAATTGTCGAAAAAGTTTTGTTTCAGAAAAACTTTTGTTGAGTATTTGGGGACGGAGTTGTTTCAATTCATAAAAAATATATACTTTTGTTTAATATCAATAGTAATCTTGAGAATTGGTAATAGAATTCTTCGAAATCGCCTACGATTTAACGATTAAATATAGTCGAGTGACCTTCTGTGGAATTCTCTCGATCGATTAATAATAAATAAATTTATCTAGCCACTGATTATTGTCTTTCATTCTCAATCTCCAAACGGAGAAACTGTCGATAAAATATCGTGTTTAATTGACTCCATTGTTTCCGGTCGTAGCAAATAAATCGTTTGTAAACTCAATCTTTTCCACGGCGTGATCTATCGTTAAGAGATTGTTTTTTTTTTCACTCTGGTCTTTGTGATCGTGCACAAGGGGTTGCCGATGCCACACCTACGAGACCCCCTTTTAGAAGGTTAATAGGCTACCAAGGCTCACGACGTTCAATTGAAAATGTGGAGGTGAAAAATATCGAGAAAAATCCACGCGTGGGTTTTACATTACGAGCTGAACGTGATCTAGGGGACTATGGGAGAGGTATTAGCACCCGGAAAACAGCGCTTTGACGGGAAGAGTTTTCGTTGGCGTGACTATTTGGCGTTCTGTGATATTTCGTTGTTTAAATTTTTTTATTTAGATCATTCTGTAAATAATTTACGTAATAATTTTTTATTTAGATCATTAGGCAAATAAAAAAAATTAATTAGAGGAGTTTTTGATGAATATCTTGGGATCTATTGAGAATAGCGATTTTCGTGGAAAGCTTTTTTCTAGAGGTTGTGATAAAAAGTTTTTAAAAAATTGTTTTGTTTTTTTTTCTAGAAATTGAATGAAACGATCTGAAGAGAATAAATAAGTCAAATAAATGTTGGAGAGTACGAGGTTGTTGTCAAGAGGGAGTCCCGCCATCTTTAAAGATGGCAGTGCCGTCACCTCGTGTTTTTAAACATTTATTAAAATTATTTACGGTCTTTAGATTAGCTTCAACTCGCGTCATCAAGATTCTATAAAAAGGAACAATTTTTTAAAGCCATCTTCCAGATTTTTCCATCCCCGTTTGGCTGAGAATTCGAGGGATCAAGTTTTACCCGCATTTCAGTAGTCTTTTCTTACACCCGAAGATTTTCAATAGAGAGCTTTTTTCCAGAGGTTGTGATGAAAATCAGGCTATCATCCTTGGATTCATCGAAATTCAATAAAAAATTATTTTTTAGCGGAAATGAGCTAGGGCACATGAAGACAAAATTTATAAAAAAAAGGTTTTTGTTTTTTTCTCGGAATTGAATGTAACGAGTTGGAGATGATCTGAAGAGACTACATAATTTTAATGAATGTTGGTAAATACGAGATAGATGGCAGGTGTGGGCGCCGCCATCTTTAAAGATGGCGGC